ATGTTATGGATCCATTTGTATGTATTTTCCTCTAGAATTCAATATAAAAAGCTAATATATTTGGCAGCACTGTGCATCTGATAGTTGTACTCGAGAACTCATTAATGCCCATGGTGGAGCTTTCTGCAATCAACATGAAGACTCATATGGACCACTATGCCGTGTATGAGACTGTCCAAGGGCTAAAGTTAATGGAACTCAGGCCTGTCATCAACACCTGATAAACAGGCAGCGCAGAGATGTCAACAGAATAGCTACAAGCTGAAGTCCGAAGTGAGAAACTAATGTATTGAGCAAGGAATGGACTGTGCTACTTACCTGAAGTCTGAAGTGAGAAACTAAGGACTCCAGGACAAAACCATACAACTAGTTATACTATGGAACATGTGGTTAAAGCATGTACAGGGTTGGACATGCTGCAACCATGTGGGAGATAAGATAACTAAAGGAATGCAATGATCTGGAACTGATCAGTGGTGATGAGATCAAACAGATGTGATGGGAACAATCAAGGGAGTGATGGGAGACATCTAGGGGTGATGGAGGTAGCCAGGGAAAGAGATTAGATAGCCAGAAAGTGATTCTAACATTCCCCACCTCCAAGGCCGCCTACTCCACCACTTGCACAACGTCGTCCTGTGCGCAATGTTGGACCACCTGGGGAATGGTGGAAGATCATGAAACTATGCGAACCCACACCTGCCATCGAATGATCATCTGATGAGGACTCTGGTGATGAGGAGGTGCAGTTTGCAGGCATGGCTAGCAGTTCTGATCCATGCACTTTTAAACAAGCCATGAAAGCACCGGATTCTGATAAGAGGATGAACGCTGCTAACGACAAGATCATGTCGTTGGTTAGCAATGGGACTTGGGAAGTGGTTGACCTACCTCCTGGAAAGAAGGCTATTGGGTGTGGTTGGGTATTTTGTGTCAAACGCAATGCAGATGGCTCCATTGAGCACTACAAAGCGTGTCTTGTCGCAAAGGGCTACAGTCAACATCCTGGAATTGACTACACTGAGGTTTTTGCACCCACATTCTGCCCCGCTGCGCTGCGCTTGATTCTCGCCATGGCTGTATTAGAACAGGCATACCCATGCTGTGCACAAGACACTGAAAAGATTCACCAGACCTGGGATTGAACCAAGGACCTTCCCACTCTAGGCGGATGCTCTAACCACTGAGCTATCTGGTCTTGCTAGTTCAACTTAGATAGTTGGATTAGACTTGTAGTTGCAACCTTTTGGATCTCACTAATGCCACTTGGGACTTACAGAGTATGCCAGTGGTTTGACTTATGACTCTCAGAGGTCTGCACCTTGATTAGATCTGGCGAACAGAGCACCAGTTCTAACAGGCTGGCATTGAGGACATGGAGTTGCGCTCTGGATGTCACATCTGCATTCCCAAATGGTGATTTGGAAGAGGAGATCTACATGCTCCAACCAGAGTGCTTTCACCAAGGTGCTCCCAACAAGGTTTTACGTGTTCGGAAGGCACTCTACGGCTTGAAACAGTCTGCCAGGCAGTGGAATAAGAAGTTGCACGCTACGCTTCTGTCTCTGGGTTTTGTTCGACTTGAATCTGACCGCTCCATCTACATCTACATGAAGGGCGACGTCAAGATCATTGTCCCAATCTACATTGACAACATTACCTTTGCATCGAAATCCACTGCTGCGCTCGACAAGGCTGTTGCTGAGCCTGCTAAACACTTCAAAATCCGCGACCTGGGTCCCTCCAAGTTCCTTCTGGGTGTTGAAATTGTCCGAGACCGCACAAATCACATCATTTCCCTCTCCCAATGCCAATACATCATTGATATGCTTGAGCGCTTTGGGATGACAGATTGCAATCCGGTTCTGACTCCTATGGCACCTGGAACAAAGCTTTCAAAGACCATGATGCCTTCAACACCTGCTGAAGTGGAGGAAATGCGCAACACGCCTTATCTCAATGCTGTTGGATTGCTGCAATATCTCGCTACCATGACGCGCCCTGATACTGCCTACGTATCCTGCTTGGTACGCTTCAATTCGAGTCCAGGACCAACTCATTGGGCTGCTGTAAAGCATTTGCTGTGCTATATTGCAAAGGAACACTTGATTACAAGCTTACCTACAAAGCAGAACCTGGCGCTTCTAACTTCCCAACATTTTGCGATGCATCCCATGGCGATTGTCCAGATTCTGGGTGCTCTGCTGGTGGTTATATCACAACACTGGCTGGTTATGCTATTGGCTGGAGCAGCAAGCTGCAACCCTTTGACCACTGAAGCGGAGTACATTGCTGCAGTTGAGGCTGGCAAGGAGATCTTTTGGATGTGCAACATCTTGCACAAGATGGGCTACACTGTCAACAATGCTTCCCCTCTCAAGATTGACAACCAGTCTGCTCTCAGTGTTGCAAAGAATCCAGAACACTATGGGCGCATGAAACAGCTTGATCTCAGCTTCTTCTGGCTTCGTGATGCGGTTGATGCATGCAAAATTGCTCCTGAACACATTCCTGGCACACAACAAGTTGCGGATCTTCTCACAAAACCACTCCCACCTCCCAAGGTCGAATTCTGCAGACAGCATATGGGTATTTTACTTTAATCTCTCTTTTTACTTTACACTCTTTTACTTACCTTTTCCACCTGGGGGATGCTCCAGGTCAGGGGGGAGTGTTAGAATCGCTTTCTGGCTATCTAATCTCTTTTCCTGGGTACCTCTATCACCCCTAGATGTCTCCCATCACTCCCTTGATCGTTCCCATCACATCTGTTTGATCTCATCACCACTGATCAGTTCCAGATCATTGCATTCCTTTAGTTATCTTATCTCCCACATGGTTGCAGCATGTCCAACCCTGTACATGCTTTAACCACATGTTCCATAGTATAACTAGTTGTATGGTTTTGTCCTGGAGTCCTTAGTTTCTCACTTCGGACTTCAGGTAAGTAGCACAGTCCATTCCTTGCTCAATACATCAGTTTCTCACTTCGGACTTCAGCTTGTAGCTGTCCTGTTGACATCTCTGCGCTGCCTGTTTATCATCTGGGGAGAGTATGCGATAAATAAAAGGTTACAGAATTGATTGCATAATCCGGCTTACTTTGAACCACTTCCAAGCTTCCCTCCACCTCTTGGCTGATGAGGATGTTGCCAGAAAACTGGCATAGAACAGAGGAGATATGCAGAGGAAGGAGGGAGGGGGAGGGGGATGAGAAATAAAATATTCCATTATGTTGTTGTTGAGCCACCCAGTGGGAGCCAGGAGACGCACATCAGAACATGACAGAATGTTATGTTTCCAGCTGGCTGGGAGTTCCGCAATGTATATTAGGTGCAGAACAGACATTTAGAGTTGGTTAAAAGGTTACTGACCTTACGAAGAACAGAGGATACCTGGGCGGAGGGAGTAATCAGCCAGCATCTTACAGCATGCTGTATCAGCCTGTACTCGGTGCCTAGAGCAGTGCACAGCTTGTGGAGTTTTGTGTGAAACATCTTCATCATGAGACAAAGATGCAAATCCACTGGCGCCTCTCGTATGAAGTCCTCCAAGTGAGAGAGGAATTGAAGACTCATAGCATGAGCAAACTCTAAATTAGAACACTCTCAAAATTCCTCACACCATACCTTCCATAAAAGGACCTCGAATACGGTGCAAACTCGGCGCATGTTACCTCCCAAGCTCCAGCCTTCAAGCAATGTTAGAGCTGCATTCAAGCTTCAAAGCTTCAAGCTTCAAGCCTGGGCTGGATCTGTAAATCTTATTGACCATTGTGCACGTACAACTTGCCAGTAAAGGAATATATAGTTAACTACAGTACAACCTCTCCCCTACTCTTACCTTCCCCCGGGCTTAGACCCTAGTTCCCTCCCTCCTGCAACACTTGATCACCTCCCCATATCCTCTGGTACTCGTATCCCATCCCTCACACATGGTGTCCAGCACCAGCACTGCATTCAGCGTTCGGCAATCAGCATCCAGCGCACTGGCTGGAGAGTTGGTATGCCAGTGGGTTCATGCGTGTGCTGCAGATGGATGTGCTTGTGGAAGGGGTGGGGACCGCTAGCTTGACAGTCATTACAGGGGCTCTCCCCAGTGGTTGCATCTGTATATGTGTAGTTACAGCTTCAGCCAGCAATCAGGTTGAGCTTGAAGGGATGTACCTGATCTATGCATCCGACCACCGCCTGCTCCTACTCCTCGCACTTGTAGTGGTCCCTGTTTGAGGCAGCTGGTTCTCAACTCCGAGTCATGGCTGTCATCTTGTGCTTAAGAGGGGCCATCACGGGTGGCTAAACGGGGGCAGAACGTCAGCGTATGCTGCAGGTCAGAGGCACTGCGACTTACTATGTGTGTTGCAGTTGCGTTCGACGCTGACGTCCAATGGTAGCCCAGGTCAATACTGTGTGCATGCTGGATGGGCGTGAGCCAAAAGGCGTGCCGAGTGGCACAAGTCTGCCTGCCATGAGTACGCTGTTGTGAGTACGTCGTGGACTTGCGTGAGTCTGGCCTACGCACCATTTGTGTGCTGTTTGTGGGGGTGGGGGTGCTCCATTTGTGCACCATTTGTGTGCACATGTCATTCATGGGTGTGGGGGTAATGCAGCTGCCCGCCAATCTGAAAGGCACCTGGGAAAAGACATGGGTCAGCCATGACAGACTAACTGCAATGCACCGTGATTGCGAATGTACATTCACATGCAGTGACACAGTGGGTAGAGGTCATGGTCAGCCACATGTGCTGAGGCGTGCATAGCAAATGCACCTTGAGGCTCTCCCTCAACCGGGGTCTGCCCTCTTGCTTCTCTAGCCCCCTGCTATTCCCTAGCTGATGTTTGCGAGTGTTGAGTTGGCGGCAACACTTGAACCTTGTGGGCGATCCTCCTGGTGCTGACAACGTTGGATGGTGACAGGCTTGCAGTCTTGGCTGGCATGTGAGCGTAGATGTTGCAGGCGTAGGGGGGCCAGTCATCTGGAACCATTCCTGAAATGTTTTAGAGAGAGAGAGAGATAGAGAGAATGCAAGAAAATAAATGCACTATACTCCTTGGAGTTGATTACACTACAGTGCATGCGCATGGACTTGCATGTGGGGTTGGAGTTGGCCTAGGTGGCTTTGCTTCTAGAACAATGGTTTAGAGAGAGAGAGAGAGAGAGATAGAATGAGAGAGAACGTACGAGGGAACCCACCGTGTGTGGTGAATGCTTGTGCTAGCATGTGGGCTTATGCTGGCATAAGCAATGTTTGTGCATCGGCGTGGGTGGGGTGGAGATTGCCCTCATTTTGTTGTCGTAGACGGGACCGCACTCCTGGCGCTGGGTGGTCGCATAGTAGGCCATGGCTGCCTGGCTGCCGTGAAGTAAACATTAGAGTACCCTGTGCATTACAATATACGAGGATGTACTATTAGAACAGGCATACCCATGCTGTGCACAAGACACTGAAAAGATTGACCAGACCTGGGATTGAACCAAGGACCTTCCCACTCTAGGCGGATGCTCTAACCACTGAGCTATCCGGTCTTACTAGTTCAACTTAGATAGTTGGATTAGACTTGTAGTTGCAACCTTTTGGATCTCACTAATGCCACTTGGGACTTACAGAGTATGCCAGTGGTTTGACTTACAACTCTCAGAGGTCTGCACCTTGATTAGATCTGGCGAACAGAGCACCAGTTCTAACATGTACCCAGATGCCTCCCTCAGCTATACTTCAGGCATGCAGAGTGGGAGTTGGAGAGCGTAGACAATGTCAGGCTCGGATGAGTCTTTGGTGCTCCAAAGCCCTAACCCCACATTATTTCTAGAAGAGGATGGACTCAAACTCCCAATATGGATGACCTCAAACACACTCGAAATATAATTGCCATTTTTGGAAAGCCTTAAACCAGGGTGACCAGGCACTTAGCCGTCACCCCGCACGTGTTCTCACTTGACAGCGCGGGTTCGCAAACGCGGCGGCGGCCCTGGCTGTGAGGTGTGAGCTGGCACTCTCTACTTCATTCCAATGTCCCCCAATCAGGCTGGCTGGTTATTTCTCCCTAGCTTTGTAGTTGCAGATCTTCTTTCTTTCTTGAAGGGACTGGCAGGCACACACGTTAACTTTTCTGAATCTGAAAGGTTGGCTCTAGATTTTTTTGAATCGGGCATCATCACAGGACTCAAAGACGCATATCCTGGTGAGCAAATTTATAT